CGCACGCACGCACGCACGCGTACATGTACATGTGTATTTGTTGAACCAATACCAGTAACTTAAGAGAAGTAGAAAATGAGGGAATAGCAATACAGAGCCTGAGCGTGGGGTTACAACCCTGGCTTAGCCACTGACTATTTATGTGGCTTTTGGCAGTTTACTAAATCTCTCAGGGGCTCAGCTTTCTTATCTTTGAAATAAAGATATTGGAGAACTTAATTTCTAAGTCTGTTCCAAATCTAAAAAATTTTGTGCTTCTGTGCATAGTAAAATACTCAACCATCTTTCAATAGCCTCATATTTGGAAGGTTGGGGGGATTTGATGTGCCATCTCAGAGTTCCATTTTAATAGTATAACAACACAGTATATATTCTTGGAATTTTTTCATGTGCAGATATATTGAAAAGAGTGTTTTTTCTTTTCCTTCCAGAACAGTGGTTTTGTGCACATTCATACTCCAATAATTACATCCAATGACTGTGAGGGGGCTGGAGAGCTTTTCCAAGTTGAGGTGAGTTCTATTTCCCATCTTGGAAAAATATTGTTGTTTGATATTTTTCTCCTGAGGGTTTGTTTCAATTTATTTATTTATTTACTTACTTACTTATTTTTGTAGTGCTGGGGATTTTGCATGCGAGGCAAGCACTCTACCAACTGAGCTATATCCCTAACCCCGTTTTAAATTTAATAAGAAGACCATAGGTAGCACCTGAAATTGATTGTAGTAATTCTTAATACATTACAACTGCTCTGACTCCCTATCCTACTAGCCATATTACTAATACTGTGACTAAAAGGAGTGAATTTTTAGTTTAGTACTCTACTTGCTTTCCTTAAGCCACTGAAATGGTTAATTAGAGAAATTTAGAGATTAATAAGGATTATAAGATATTCTGCAAATTCAACCATCAGTTGATGCTTGAACATAAATCATGTTTTTAAAGATGGATAAAAGGGCTGGAGTTGTGGCTCAGCAGTAGAATGCTCACCTAGCATATATGAGGCACCAGGTTCCATCCTCAGCACCACATATAAATAAATAAAATGAAGGTATTGTGTCCACTTACAGCTAAAAAAAAGTATTTAAAAAAATGAATAAAATAGAAAAATTACATTTTCATAAGAAATGATTTGTGTATATACCCCATTAAGGTTTTTAGTTTAATTCTTTGTTTAACAACCATTTTTGGATTTCCTACTATGTGTCAGGTACTGTCAGCCTGCCCTTCTTGCAGGAAAAAAAATTTTTCCAACTTTTCTTATAGTCAGTTGAAAGCCTTTCATTTATTAGTTTTACAGCTGAAAAGTCATTAGCTAGTCACATACTGATGGACAAAGAGAACTCAAGTGATGAGTTGTGCTTTTTGTATTTTATTTATTTGCTGTATTCTTTAACTCTAGTAAATATTAAGGTGGTTCTTTAAACATTCGGTTGATTTTATTAGCTGACAAGATGTGTATATAACTGCTTTCTCAATTTTAGGGCTTTCTGGCTCTTGATAACCATGCTTTCTCTTTATATTTTTGAACAAAGTTTTCATTGTAAAATGTTGTCCTGATGTATTGAAGTCATTATTATTAGGAATAGTAATCAAATGTTGTCTTTCTTCATACTTGAAGAAATCTGAATGGTAGTTAACCTTCTGGAAAAAGCAGAATTAAAAAACCTGTTGAATATTTAAAGTGGAAGTGTTAGCATCTATATATGAGTTCAAAGAAGTTAGCAAATGACAAAATAATAGTGTTATTCTAAAAAACATTCTTTTCTAGGGGTTTATTTTCTCTTGTGAATATTGATGTGAAGAAAAATTACTTAACCTTAAATGCATTTCATGATCCTTTCATCTAAACTATGGAATGTTAAAAAACAGAGAGAGGAATTTTACATAATGGAATTAGAGTACTAGAAAGACATGCTCTTGAATTCATTGATCCTACTATAGTCAGGGTCTAGATCAGATTTCAGCATCTGTGACTTTTGTGTTATGTATGGCCTGCTATCTTTGTTGCTTTCAGAAGTTTGGATACCAAGACTCACCTTTTGCTCTGCTTTTGTAAGCAGTATTTTTTCTTATTCTCACCTCATACACCTTACACACCTGTGTCCTTACAAGATTCATTCTTAATTTCCTCCTGGCTACTAGTAGAGGCATAGGGGTATGAATGTTGGCAACCACTTTTTAGGAAGTGGGTCTGAAGAAGTGGAACTTTTGTATTTAAATTCTTGAATTCTTGCTTCTCTACCAGGTGTGGTGGTGCACAATTGTAATACCAGCTATTTGGAAGGCTGAGGCAGGTTCAAGGCCAGTCTGGACAATTTAGCAAGAAGACCCTGTTTTAAAAAGAGCTGGGGACATAGTTCAGTGGTTGAGTGTCCTGGGTTGAATCCCCAGTACCACCCCGCCTCAAAAAAAAGAAAAAAATCTTGCTTCATTTAACAGCCTTCTTTTTTCCTATGACAGCATTGAAGTGTCAGTAATCATTTTTAAGATAAAAATGGCTAATAGAAATTTAGGTTTGAAAGTATCAGTAAGAGGTGACCTTAAAAACCTTAAAAAGTACAGTAAGAACTTAAACTTCTAATACTCTTATTGAGAACTGAATATATGCCTTATCATTTTTGTTTTTTTTTCCACATTTCCTCATTTATGACTGTGGATATTAAGATTTGGGGACTACTGAGTAGATGTAAGAAGTCACATTCAAGGCATTTATTTGTTTTTCAGCAGACATTTGCTACCTCTGTGTTCAAGTGCTATGCTAAATGTTATGAGGGATAGAAAGACGTAATTGAGATTCTTGCCTATAAACCTGCTGACTTGGCAGGATTTGATAAAGTAAGAAAAATGCTTTTTTTTTTAATCCTTGATATTATTTATCATGCATTTACTATTTGTATACTTTTTCCTCTTTGTCTTAAGGTCCTAGCTAAGTTTCCAAAATTATGATTGGTTTTTACAATCCTGAAGCAACTATAGACTGTTCCCAATTTAGGATACTTCAACTTACTGATTTTTTAATGTCATGATGGTACAAAAATGATAGGCATTCAGCAGAAACCATACATTGGTTTTGGTTTTGTGGTGCTGGGAATCGAACACTGAGCTACTATTCTCCAGCGCAGAAACACCATACTTTGAATTTTGAATTTTGATCTTTTTCCCAGGCTGTCAATACTTGATACAAATATTCTCTCATGATGTTGGGCAGCAGCTGCAAGCCACAGTTTCCTGTCAGCCACAGGATCTTGGGGATAAACAACGATACTCTACAATGTACTGTGTGGCTCGGCTGTGATGTTCAGTGTATTAGGAGCATTGAATACATTTTCAATTTATGGTATCTTCAATTTATGATGGGTTTATCAAAGTGTAATGCCATCAGAAATTCTGACGTATCTATAATTTGTTTCTGAGAAGATACAAGAGAAGGCAAGAATTAGAGCTGTGGCAGACTAGAAGTTAATGAGGAATAGGTGGGACTATATATATTTGAGGTTACAGTGTTACCAATTATAAATGATATGAAATCTATAGCAAAATATTGTCAGGGAGAATTGAGTTGGTCAGAAAAATCTTAAAAATGAACATGTGATTTAACTATATCTTAGGGAAGGTATTCCCAGTAAGGGGAACAATGTGAGAAGAATTGGAAAGTTGAGCTGAAGGGGTTTTATTAGACTCTGAGTGAACAGATTTGAAGGTTCATATTGGCAAATTATAGAAAATAAAGGTGGCTAGCTTTAAGAATGAGATTATGGAGCAGTTTGGGGTTTTTGTTGTTGTTGTTGTTGGTTGGTTGTTGTTGTTTAAGGAAAAAAAAATGTTTTGAGACATGTTTTACATACTATAACATTTACCCACTTACATCTGTACCACTCCCTGGTTTTTAGTATATCCAGAAAGTGGTGGAGCCATTCACCACTTTGTAACTTGAGGGCATTTTCATCACTCCGAAATAAGCCAATGTATTTATTAGTAGTCTCTTCTCATTCTTACTCCCAGCTCTGACCACAAAGCTACTTTCTATAGATTTGCCTCTTCTGGAACACCTCATATAAATGGATTCATATGACATATGGTCTTTTGCATCTGACATCTCTGACTTAACACAGTTTTTGAGGTTCATCCAGGTTGTATATGTGTCCTTTCTTCATTCCTTTCTATATCAAACTGGTATTTCATTGTGGGGATGTACTATTTTTTTAATCCATTTATCAGTTAATGGACATTTGTGGTGTACTACATTTTACCTGTTACGAGAATAATACTGCTGAGAACATTTATAAAAAGATTCTATGGATGGAGATAAACATTATCTCATTTTTTTTGGAAGAAATTTAGGGGTAATATGGTAACTGTGTTCAACATTTTGAAAATTTTTCAAACTATTTTCCATGGAGGCCATACCATTTTACATTCCCACCAGCAGCATATGAGGGTTCTAATTTCGTTGTATCATTGCTTATGCTTGTTATTTTTTATGACTTTGATTTATAGTCATCCTAATGAATGCAAAGTGGTATCCCATTGTGGTTTTGATTTGCATTTGCCTAATGACTAAGGGTATTGAGCATCTTTTCACATTGACCATTTATATATCTTCTTTGGAGAAATATCTAAGTACTTTGCCCATTTTTTAAATTGGGTCCTTTGTCTTTTTGTTGTTGATTGAGTCACAAGAATACTTTTATGTATTGAACATACAAGTCTCCCCAACCCTCAGCAGTGTAAAGGCTGTGATGTTGCCCTCAGGCACAGGCTTGATGTGCCCACAATCACCCAGAGATGGCACTTCTTTGGACAGGGTTTCCTTTGGCTGTTTCTTCCCCTGACCACATGTAGTGTGATTGCTCCAATGTTTTAACAGTGTCCTAGAGCATAAACTTTATCTCAAACTGATCCAGTCAATTTCAAACTCCTTTAAGGGGATAGTTTTCAAAATCAATGTGTGAGATTTATTGTGACCTTGAAAGGGCTTTTCTAGCTCTTCCAGTATGTCTCTGGCACACCGATAGATCTACAGTTTAACCTTTATCTCCAACGGATCTGCCAATCTCTTGATTGCCTTTTACCAAATCACCAGTGTTGGAGAGAACCCTTCAGTTCGAGAAGTTTTCCACACTCTTTTGCAAATAAAGTCAGTGCCTTTGAGGGGGGATCCAACCTCTATTTTATGGCCTGATACCCTGCCCAGGCAAAATCTTAGAGCCAGAGCTCTAATGCTAGAAGCATGGACAATGGATGAGTCTCTGCGTGACATCTTGATTTAGAAGCTGAATACTCAGTGGAGGGAGTGACAGCAGCCCCAGGTCTCCTGGGCTTGCCTCTGCTCACCTGGAAACCATAGCCCATGCATGGTCTGGGGACAGAGCCTTCCACCTTGGATTGGCGTAAACAGAACCTTTGTTCTTGGCTATATCATCCTGGAGTGGAGTTTCTGTCATGCCATGCTGTGAGGGGATTAGGAGGGAATGGGCTCTGGCTCAAACAAAGCAGACACCTTAGTCCT